AAGATTAAAGGGACGTAATATATTTTAAGCACCTACTTGTGCTCTGATCGTTGTTTCTATTTTTTCCCCTCACTAGTTAAAAATTGCAAACAAAAAAAACGGGCTAAACAATGTATCCCAAATCACTAAGCTAGAGGGTAGCTGATTTAAGATTTGAATCAAATTCCATGGAACTTCCTCTACCCCAATGCTAGTTCTACCAATGATACACTAGTGCATAAGCCTACCTCATAAAGTCTCTCTTGAAAATGCACACCTAGCTGGTCCAAGATAGTAGGTTGATCATTGTATTTACTTGCTTTCTCCTGCCAAATTCTATGGAAATAATGAAAAGATACATGCTCAAAGAAAGAATGAATTCAAAATCATGTTGGAAAAATACAATGAATGGAAGCAGCATTGCTTTGTAGCATTGTAGCATTGCTACAATGAATGGGAGCAAAAAATTTGAGGAATTAAAGAAAGTGATGAGAAACCTAATGGAAAAATAAGTGAAAGTTAACAATGGATAATTCACAGAAGGCTAACATCCTTATTAACAAAGAAATAGAGAATAAAGTAGCAGTGAGACAAGGCTTCTATTATTTGATGCTTCCTTTGGCTCTCGCTCATGCTGCCTTGTTTCCTTGTGTGTTTTGTGATTTTGGCATGAGAACATGTACCTTGGGATTCTCTCTTTCACAATCCTCTGAGGTGTGGATTTACATATATTATTCTAGATAGGATTTTTGTTTGTTTCTGCCAAGTGCATTGGGGTATGACCAACCCCAATTTTTTTGAGGTTTTTTTAAGGTATACCAGTAGTAAAAATCTGTCTTGAATATTCATAAGAGTGATAGTTTACAATTAGGAATTCTCAGGGGATATTTTTCCACCTCTTCCCAGTGCCAAGGTAGAGAAAGGTAAGCTTCCTTTCTGCAGTGCTGATTTTTGTTTATTTATTTTTTTAACAAATTTACCTTTAAACAGAAAGTGTGGCCCCTTGAGCCTCTAGCATTATACAGGAATCTCAGCATATTTCACATCCTGAATAGGCCCAACGCTTGGTACAGACACTGTTCTTCCATCAAAACAGAAACCCAGGGTCCTCAGGTTGTAGCAGGAATCCTCAGGAAGAAAACCAACCTTGGTGTTCCTTGTCTATCTGATTCCTGCTTTTTGGTGCATTTTTTTTTGATCAACCAAGTGACAAAAGGTGTTAACATTTTAACTAATGTTGTTTTTCAGTATTCATATATCAAATTTTTCATAGTGCCAGAAATAAAAGTCTGTGTCTTCATTGTTTTGTTTTTACTTTGCTTAAAGTAAAAACTTTTTAAAGGCTTATAGTACATGATTCTTATCCATAGAGAACTTATTATGTAATGGGTATATGAGTGAAAAAAAATTAAGCATATTGTAAGAGGGACAGATAAAGGCAAAACTACAGTGACCCAGCATAGAACATACCAGGTGTGGGAGGCATTGTATGTAATAATAAAAATTCCCATGTAATTAATTAAATAGCAGTTAAATTCTGAATTAAGACAATTCGGGATTTGCAGAAAGAAAAGGTAAATAAAATAGCATAAGAGGGGGAGTGTGTGTGAATTAATGAAAAATGAGGTTGGTAAAGTAAATCCAGAAGTATTAAAAAGGGATGACATTTTGTAGGCTTCACAGAAGGGCTTCAGTTCAATTTAATGTAATAGGCAATAGGGAATTCTTAACGGTTCTTGAACAGGGGAGTGATGATAGAAGCAGTATTAGAAAAAGGTTATTTCAGCCACTCTCTGGGTTAGAGAGGAGCACAGGAAGGACGCAGAGTGCACTTCAGTCAACATGAAGAAATGGAACACCTGAACTACAGTGTAAACTATAGGTATGAAAATGGAACCAAGTCCAAAGCAGTGGTGAGAAAGTAAGCCAAGTTTAGGGAAAAAGAGTAAGAGTAACATTGGCAAAGTAGTATTCCTAGGAATTCTACTGAAAGGTGGTATCACCTATTTGGAAAAGCTGGTTAAGAAGTTAGGTTTCCATGTATTAAACTTCACATAATCAGCAGCTAAGAAAATATTAGCTAAGCTCTTTAGTCCCCATTTCTCATCTGTGAAGGGAGAGTACCCTCTGCTCTTCTGACTGTGTAGCATCCCCCTAGATAATCACATCCACCATGATAGCTGAACTACTTGTCTGTGTAGAAACTCCCCAATGGACATGTTCAGGCCAGATCTCCTGATTAAGTCCCATATTTACATGCCTAATGACTTCTTAGACTTCTTTTTTCAGAATGAGTATTAAAGAGGACCTTCATCTATGAATATTTAATAAATTAAACATTACCTCTTTCCCTACATTCACTCCTATTCCTGTGTCACATTTTTCCACAACTTGTACCATCATTCAACCTGGAAGACTGGAAATCAGCCTCAAACCTTCCTTCTTTCCTAGCAACAAAATCCCACTAATGACCATACACGGATGGTGTAACTCCTTGAGAATTCTTTGATTTCCTCTCCTCTCTATTTCTACTACTAATGCTTTAGTTTAGGCTCGTATCACATCTCAACTGGATGATTACACTTGCTTGCTAGACTCTGGCTCTAGTTCCATGACCCTTCAGTCAACACTTCCCACTGCCAGCAGCGTGTCCTTTCAGAAACATCAATCTCAGCACGTTCCTCCTAGAGCGCTTAGGAACCTTCACTGGCTTCCTTACTGACTGATGCTCATGAAAGTGAAAATATGGCAACTCCAGATTGCTACTCCATGAAAGCCAGGTCATAAACCACTGCTGTTGTATATCAACGATACTTCAATAAAAACAAAATCAACCCCAAAGCTGTTGTCAAGTAGTACTGCTAATAGGACTGGGTCCCTTTTAGTGTGTTTAGGGAAAAGGAATTATCAACCTATAGGGAAAGGCCAATGTACAGGTCACCTGTGGATGCCCAAGGATGTCCACACTCTGGGGCCTGCTGAGCTCTCTGGTCCCATCTCTCCCAGTCTCTATGCCCCTCTCTTCTACCAATACAAGGCTCTCCACTGAGCTGGATCCCATCTGCAGTTCCCCAAAGCTGTTGGGCTGTTTTGAGTGTTTTGCTCTTAGTTCTCTCATTCCAGGATTCTCTTCTCCCACTTGCCTGTGCATGGGAGAGGGAAGTAGGAAAAACTGGAGATCCAAATCTGAATTTACCCTCAGGGAAGTGGTTGTTCCCACACATAATAAATAAGTAATAAATAAAGAGTAAGGTAATAACTGCATGTGATATACACCATTTGTAATATTCTTACATATTAGTTTAAATTCTCTTGACTTTTTGAAAAATGCTGGAATAATATGATCTGTTCTTTAAAGCCTAACAGAGAGTACATATCAGGAAACATCATAAATTTGGAATAGTTGTTATTTTTTGATAGAGATTGATGCTCTATGTACAATAAGTTGCTTCTGAAACAAAAGACTCCTGGGATTCTCACTAATACTTACTTATATACATACTGAGGAAAAATTATGACTTAAGTGTATCAGTCACCAGAAATTTCAGATTATCTATCTATCTATCTATCTATCTATCTATCTATCTATCTATCTATCTATCTATCTATCTATCTATCTATCTATCAAGTAGAGTCACCACATTATACCAAAATTGTGTTATTGAAGGTCCAAGTGAAAACTAAAGACTATGTATTTTACTAACAAAAAATTTTAGATCATCATTAGAGAGTCAGAACCTTCCTAACAAGGATTTCACTTCAGTGACATTCAAGATTTTACATTGTATTTTTAACACATCAGACACAGCTATAATTATATTTATATTAGAGTTACAGTTTGTCAAGTGGCTTATAAGATTTTTCTAAATTCATGTTTGGGTAAATTTTGGTTTATTAAACAATTATAAGTTGTCAATCACTGTAAATGGACTTACTTGGTGAGCTGTATAATAAATACTGCACTGATTAGTTAGGGACTATTTAAAAAATAGAAGTTATTTACCCTTAAGTAGGATATTTCTACTTAAAATTAACAGGCATAATCTAGTAATGAAAAAGGAGACAGATACCTCTGAGACAGTGAGTGGGTGTCAAAGAAGATGGGGTTTGGGGAAGTTTTGAAATGATGCCTCTGAAGAAAAAACAACTACATAAGAGAAGGAAACCCAGTGAAAACAGCCTAGTGAGCATTGCTTTGTTGAGGGAAGGGGTACAGAGAGCTTCTGGAATGCCACAGTCTCCCCGGAGCCCACATAGGCTTGGTTAGAGATGTGACTGCTGCATCTGACCTTTTACACATTTATAGAACGTGACATAATGACTCCTTGGAAATGGCTTCACTGCCCTGGGAGAATGTCCTGGAGAGTATGGTGTCCCAGTGGGAGTGGCAGCCGTCTGGAATGTCACACATTGCTTGACGGGGGTGTTCCCAGGTGCTGGTAGTCCACCATTGCTGGTATGGGGGATGATTTTTGGGGTCCACTAATGAACTCTTTCAAAAAAATTGTTATGACATATATTTTAAGTATACTACACAAAATGGACCTAGCACAGTAAACTCATGATTTTGTGGATGCTATTACTTGGGATGAGACTGAATTTATCAATAGTGAGTAGATTTTAAATTGTTTTAAAGAAAAATATTAAGTAAATAAGGATACAGGTGATATGCAGTTAAGGCAAACATACTAAAGGTGTGCGAAGTACTGCAGTTAGAGAAACACTGTTGTAAACTATAAAGGAGCAACTAGTCTCAGATTTGTGACAATGAATTTTTTGATCTGTAAACCAGAAATTGTGTAACATGACTCTAAATCCATCAAACAAATAGTCTGAAAGTCTGGATCATGCTGGATCATATTCAGGTTACTTGGGTCTTAGAATGCAGGTGCCATGAATGGAAACTCAGAAATATCACCAACAAGATTCCAACAGATTACACTTGACTATGAGGTTAAGAAATAGAAGCTGATGATCAGCATTTAACAAAAGACATATGTTAAAAATTCAAGAATACTTACTTCCCTTTTTTAATTGTGTTCCTGCCAAGCAATGGATCAAGAACTGGATCTATTTTTTCCTCCAGATTTTCAATTAAGATGACATCTCCAAAGGCCAAAGCAGTTTCAATGGCATTCAAAAACCTTAAAATTCAGTCAGAATCAAGAAAATAAAAGTGTAAATAAGCAGGGGAAAATGTTCAAGATTATCTATATTAAATTTATTTAATGTAGATTTTTAAAATAGGGCAAACTTAGAGAAAACTATTTTACAAAGTAGAATTCTTCAACTAGATTACATAGATATTAAAGATTAGTTTTTGAAATAAATTATAATCATATTTTCCAAGTGAAACTCAACATTTGCACTAATAGGCCCATGTGTAAATTACTTTTGACAATAATCATAGTTGAAATAAATGTAACTTAACTAAACACTGTAAGTTTTAATTTGTTCAATAGGTCCTATTTTGATAAAAACTCAAATCATATTAAAGGCCTTATGGTTTTATCAAACTTTGATTTTTTTAAAACCTTTAGGTACAGTCACATAAAGTGGTGAACTATCATTTTATTTCATTACTTCTCTACAAAAATGTTCTTTCCCCTTCAAAAAACAATTCTCTCCATGTATTCTGAGAAGGAATATATTTATCTGTACAACTGCAGAAATTCCATACTTGATTTTACATGTGAGAAGTTGGTGGAGGGGTCAAATGAAATATCAGTAAGCTAAAAACTGTTTATTCGACATTAACTGCACACCATCTACATAAAAGATGGCTTTCTACTTATCAGATGGTGTTGTCATGAGGCCCCAATGACAGAAAATCTCAGAGTACGTTCAGTTCTCAAAAGTGACATGTAAAACTTGACCAAGAAGTTAAATTTCTTCAGGTATTCAATGCTGTGACTTGTTAAAAATCCCACTGCAGGCAAAGTATATATTTAGGCATGTGAGTGTAAGACTGTAGGTGCAGTTGACAATTCTTGGGTCGTCATGTGCCAAGTGCACTAAAGAAGGATTATAGCGCATTGCATTTCCATTCTTGGCCTTCAGAAAGTGATACGTTTTTCCTTTCAGATTCAGTGTTTGTCCAATCTAATTTCTTCTTCAGGTAAGTGGATGCTGCCCATCAGAGATGTCCTTTCAACAGAGATACTTTATGTGAAAAATGAGCAGGCAGATTAACAAGTAGTTCCATACTGTCACACTTCAAAGTGGCAGAGAGGACTTAGGACTTTGTAAAAATCAGACCCACTTCACAGCAGCTAAACAAAAACAGATTTCACATACCCTTTCTGGCCCAAATGTGTGACTTTCAGGTCTGTTCCATACTTATTCTTAATCCACTTAATTCCCTGATGCTGAGGGTCTATCATTAGGGGCCAGCGCTCACAGTGTGTGAGGATAGTGGCGTTTTCGGTGGACATCCTGTCACTGGGCAATCCTTCATTATTCCAGGTGGCAACTGTAGCATCATCTGTCAACATGGCAATCAAATCCAGGCCTTCAGTTACTGGGATGGAAACCTGTAAGATCAGAGTTGAATGTAATACACAGCCAGTGTGGCTGAGCAAAAGAGCCGGTACAACAGGTAAGAAAAGTAGAGACCAAAGTCAAGAGAACACATGCAGCTTCTCTGCGGACTCTTGGAAACCAAATAAAACTCTCTCATCATGAAATGCACTTCGATCCAATCAGCCTGGTACTTACTGCCCAGAATTCTGTCACCTGCAGTAGTCAGCACCTGGTTTACTAGTGCATCTCTCTGGCATCAAGTGGAAGGGACTTTACCCTGTACATACATCTACAGCTACTCCAGCAAGGTGAGAGTGACTTTAGACATATAAAGTATGGCAGGACCCCAGAAAAGTATTTGCCCAGTGGAGTAATCACCCCACAGAGGCAATGTTAATGCAGTATCTTGCTCAGGCATTTCATCTTTTATTACAAGCTTATATCACAAAGAGATGACTTCTCCTTCTGGGGTGGGTTAATGAAGGTATTCAGTCTGCTGGGACTCCATCAGCTTGCCAGCTGTGCCAACAACTGAGATTGCACCTCTCCTCTGAGCGGGAATTGCCTACCTATGACTGCAGAATGCAGCATTGCAAAGTGGGGAGTTGTCTCTTTCAAAAGAGAGTGTGAGAGGGGAGCCCATTTTAAAGAGGAAGGATCATTCCTTACAGAAATGGACTGACTTTACAAAAAATAAACAAGATTGGGGAAAGGAATTTACTTGTTTGGTCATCGATCACCAAACATCACTGAGAATCTCCTACATATGAAACGCTCCCTGCAGAACCACCATGAGCAAGATGGGTAAGGAGTTAGTCTCATGGCTGGGTGGGGGGCTGCCATGGAAACACGCCTCCATAAGTGACTGCAGTAAGTGGGCAGGGGAAGCTGTAGCAGCAGGAGTTTGATGTATTGGTCGGTCACAGAGCCTCAGCAAACAAAAAAACTGGAAGAATTCAGTTTCCCACAGTAAAGCTGGGATATAATATAATATCAATATCAAGATATCAATATATAATATAATATAATATCAAGACCACAATGTTACATTAAGAAATCAATCAATCTCTATCTCCTAGTGATAAAAATAAACCTTGGTATCTGAGTCAACTTAAAGACAGAAGCAAATTGGCATGTTTTAGAATAAACATCTTCCTATTAGCAGGGATCTGTGGCTTTCATTTCTTACCTTCTACTTAATATAAACTACTTGAAACAACTGGAAGCTTGAAATAACTTTCAGTTCTGATGCTGACAAGTAGCCACAGAAAGTACACATGTACACATGTAAGTCTTGTATCTGAATTCAATAGTTTGAATTGTTTGAACCCCAATAGTATGCAAAGTGCTGGGAATTTAAAAATTATTAGTGTAGTCTAGGAGGGAAAATAAAGCAGGTAACTACATTAAAGAATATTATAAATACTGTGAAATACTTTGAAACTTAAGTCAGATTAATGCTAAGTAGAGTGTAATACTTTTGAGACTTAAGTCTCAAAGTATTTCCCAGTATTTATAATATTCTTTAATGTTTAAAAATTTAAAAACAAATTTTAGGATGTTTTCTTTATGGTATTATGTTCAAATAGCTAGTTGTGTGACTATATACCATAATTTTTGTTCTGTTAAAATATTTTGATAGTTACAATACAGTTATCATTTTTGCAATAAATTGTAACCTAGATTTAGGCTGGGGAAAATAAACTTCAATTCATATGTATCTTCTTTTTAATCCACTCTTCAGAATCCCTTGAAGGGGTCTGCAGAAAGGAAAGTGAGTTCGGAAACCAGGTACAAAGCAGGAATCCCTTAGGTCCAAAGTCAGCTTGCAAGTCAATAAGGCTCCATCTAAGTCCTTCATTAAGTAGTGTCAACATAGTGTCAGGCAGGATGCTACCGCAAGATGGAGCTGGAAAAAACATAAATAAAGGAAAGAAACCGCCCTCTTTGGAAAAGAAGCTTTTACTAGAGAGAAAAGAAAGGCTGGAAACACATGCCATGAGCTGAGCCAAACCAGTCCTAACACCAGATGCCTATGAGGAGCCTCTGAAAACTGACCAGGTGACATATTCCAAGGGAACAAAGGGAACTTCCTGCTGAGGAAGACTCCCAGTTTCTCCTAATATGATAGTAACAAAACAATTCTTATTTATAAGGCTTTATGTTTACAAAGTGTATTCTTATACATTCATTCTTTTCATTGTCTCATTTGACTCATTTACAAGAGTTCCACAAAGTAGATATTTCTTTTTTTTTCTTTTTTCTTGGAACACTGAGGCTTATAAAGATTAAAATCCCACTAATAACTCCCTATATTTGTTGTATCTATAAACTTCTAGGTCAGATTAATGCTAAGTAGAGTGTAAGTGCCTCCATGAACTTGCCTATGTCTCTGTCTACCCAGAAGATAATAGCTTTGGATGGATGGAAACTGATTTGGACCCAAAAGGCCACGTATGCCCACTAAACCCGACCTTTTCAGTCACCACCACACTGCTCTGTTTCTTCTCCATCCTGTCCTCCAAACTCATGCCCCCACTGCTGGACCTTCTGATGACCCTATCCACATGCCCTTTGATATCCCAGTCCTGTATGGACCAAGCTCTACTCCCTTTCTCTGCCCATTTAACCAAAATCTAGCTTTCCCCTAAACCAATGGCTCTCAAGCCCAGGCTGCAAATTAGAATGAGAGCTTTCAAAAGCTGCTAACATGCAGTGTCTCCTCCCCACCCCGTCTCCAATGATTCAACTTTAACTGACATTAGTGTTTTAAGAACTTAATCCCCACATGATTTAAACATGAAGTGGGGGCCAGGAACAATTGCCCTAGGGTCTCACTGCACTTGAGGGCGTCCTCACGTAGACAGTTCATTTTCTCTGTTCTCCCATTACTGAAAAACTGTGTGTGGTGAAGAGATGTTCTTCTTACTTTCTTGAAGGTTATTTCAAGACTACTGCTTTTCTGCCCTTAAGTAAAAACACCATCTTTGAGGCCCCTGGAGTCCATGTATACAATCCACTGCTTATCTCCTCATATCATTAAGGACAGAGCTACTGTCCATCTTGCCTTTCCCAGGTTTGAGCCAATCTGTGACAACCTCAGTGCCAGTGTAGATGGCAAATCCTCTCTCCAGCCTTGAAATCCTTCCTACCAAAGCACCACACTTCCTTTCCTCTCTGGTATTCTGGGGGAAGAGGTGGAGGGAGGCAGAAGCCCAGACCCCCCTGGGAAGATGATGGTACAGCATTACCTTCTGGCTTCCCCTACCCTGCACCCCTCCTGCCCTAGATGAGAAATGCTGTCCCAAACTTTGTAGTGAGCTGGCTGAATCTATTTCCATTATTGAAATCTAAACTCCTACCACCCAATTATTTAACCATAATTATCTATACCTCTCTTACACCTTTAAAAGTAATACTTACTCTAACCAACAGCATTAAGACACCTTGTCTCTAAAGTAGTGACTCTATAGCATCTACTACACTGACGGACAGTGACTGTAATGGGGCATGTGGTGAGGACTTGATAATGGGGGGAATCTAGTAACCACAATGTTGCTCATGTAATTGTAGATGAATGATACCAAAAAAAAAAAAGACACCTTGTTTCTACCCACCCATGTATTTGTTGTGGTGGATATACATAAAAGTTGCCATTTTAACTATTATAAGTGTACAGTTCAATGGTATCAAGTACATTCTCATTGTTATGCAATGATCACTACCATCCACCTCTAGAACTTTTTCATCATTCCAAACTAGAACTCTGTACCTATTAGGCAATAGCTCCCCATTCTCCCTCCCTCAGCAACTGGCAGCTACCACTGTAATTTCTGTTTCTATGACTCTGACTGTTCTAGGTACTTCATACAGTGGAATTACACGGTATTTGTCTTTTTGTAACTGGCTTTTTGTCCTTAGCTTAACGTCTGCAAGTTTCATCCATGTTGTATCATGTGTCAGAATTTCCTTCCTTTTTAAGATTGAATAATATTCCACTGCATGTATAAACCACATTTTCTTTATCCATTCATCTGCTGATGGGTACTTGGGTTGCTTCCATTTTTTGTCTAGAGTGAATAATGCTGCTATGAACAAGTATATATATATACATCTGTTTTGATATTTTTTTCATCTCTTTTGGGGATATGCCCATAAGTGTAATTGTTGGATCACATGGTAATTCTACATTTAATTCTTTAAGAAACCCTACCATATTTTTAACCAACTTCTGGCTACCCTCACTTCTCTCTCAGCATAAGCAGCACCTTCCATTCCCTAATTTCTCTTCAACCTGCCCCATGAGCTTCCCTGCCGTCTTTTCCATCTGGCTTACCTGCCTGTAAGTCTTGTGCCCTGGCTGTATTCAACATTCTCTATCCACTCTTTTTGCTCCCAAACTGTAAGTATTGCTGATGAACACTTTGTTACTATGCATACAAACTTATCTATTCAAAATTCATCTTTCATGGTTTCTTAAAGCTGCTTGGCAACATGTGACATCTACTCTCCTATTGACTCAATGAGTATTTTTTATGTTTTACCACTCTCCCCATATGTGTTCTCCTAACTCCAATTCTGTATCTTTAGCCAGCTGACACTGCATTTTCCTACTTCCCTGAGGAATAGAGAACAGCAGGTATGATGCACCAGCTTGCCTCCTATCAAAAGCTCTGCCTGTGTCCACCTTTCCCACCTGAATGGAAGGGGTCTTGCTTCTCCCACCTGTGGGTCATTCTATTTACCTCTATTCTGGAGCCCATCACCTCTCAAATCTTGATGGATCATACCTCTTCACCCTTTTATTGTCAGCAATTCCTCTTCTGTTTCTTCTCCTGAAGCACAGAAACATGCTCTAATCTCATTCATACAGAAAAACAAGCCATTCCCTTAGCTCCAGGTCTCTAACTAGGCGCTTTTGTTTAAGTTCTTCCCTTCACAGGCAAATTCCTCCAAGCATAATCCATCTCTATTTCCCACCTCCCACATACTGTGTAACTCAGTGCAATCT